CAAATAAACATATGAAAAAATGTTCAACATCACTGGTCATTCGAGAGATGCAAATGAAAACAACACTGAGAGTTCACCTCACTCCAGAAAGAATGGCTGCTATCAAGAAATCAACCAATAAAAAATGCTGGCGGGGATCTGGGGAAAGAGGAACCCTGCTCCACTGCTGGTGGGAGCGTCAACTGGTGTAACCACTGTGGAAATCAGTATGGAGATATCTCAAAGAACTAGGACTGGAAGTCCCATTTGACCCAGCTATTCCCCTGATGGGTATCTTCCCCAAAGAATTAAAAGAATCACACCACATTGATATATGTGTACCCATGTTCATAGCAGCACAATTTGTAATAGCTAAAACTTGGAAGCAGCCCAAATGCCCATCAACTGAAGACTGGATAAAGAAAATGTGTTTTTTTCTAAAATGGAGTACTACTCAGCCATAAAAAATGATAAATTAGAGACATTTACAGCTAAAGGATGCACATTGAAGCGATACTCTTAAGTGACATAAATAGGGTGCACATATGTAAATACCGAATAATTTCTGTAGTGTGAGAAATTGAAAGTGTAAATAAGAACTAAAAGGTATAATAGATAATGTGAAACAGGAAGAAAAGGGGCAAAGGGGAAGGGGAAGTGGGAGGGGTAGGGGAAAGGAAATAAGGGAATGGAATTGATATGAGAAAATGAAAAAATAGAAACAAGGTCTCTGTAAATAGGGAGGGTTGGAGGGGTTGAAGGGAGGGCAGGGTAAGGGGAAAAAAATAAGAACCAAGAGAGATTATGTAAAGGTGCAAATTTCCAATGATGAATGTCATTATATCATATACCTAAAATGTACCAATAAAATAAACTTTTTAAAAATGATAATGTGAAAATATACATTTATCAACATGAAAAATATACAATATGATTTTGAAAAATTGTATAATATGATCCAATTTGTACAAAATAACAGAAAATATACTGTGTATGTCATGTGTGAGTACATATATAGAAGTCCAGTAGAACATACATGGAAGCACTGTTCTTTATCCTTAACCTGTATCTTAGCACATCCGTATGTCAGTTTTATATCTACATACGTGAATTTTTCAAAATACACAGCTTTCGTAAGAAAACAACACTGTCTGTGTTATTTAAAAATGCAATGTGCCCCTTACCGTTTTGTTCCAAGAGTGTGGATAGTGCAGCTGCCGAGGCCCGCAGCACCTCCTGGGATGAAGAGTGCATAAGCATGGCCAGCATCACCTCCCTGTGAGCCGGGAACCTTGGAGAGAGTCAACGGTGACAGCAGGGATCAGCTCAGAAATCTCATCACTATCTGATAACTAACACAAATGAGGGCAGAACATGTAAATATTATTCTATGTCACCTCCACATACAAGGATGAGTGCTAAGAAATTAATATTTCTGTGTTTCTTCAAAAGCTGCCGAGCAATAAAAATGCTCACCAGATACATAAAAAGGTGCTTGGAGGAAAAAGGTGATGTGAGAAAAATAGAATAATGGAAACAGAAAGGAAAAATTAAAAATCATAAGGAAACATAAATGTATGTTCACAGATATATTTTCTTTTAACATTATTTTAAGAATCTCCTATGAACACTGAAAAATAGATGAATGACGAACTGAAATTTATAAACTGCCACATGAATCTGCCTTAACCGAATCTCTTGAAAAAGACTGACCATTGTGGGATTATTCTGAGGCTGGTTTAGCATATAGTTTTCAAATGAATTAGTTTTGCTCACAATGGAAATGTTTAATTAAATAGCATCTGTTTCATTAATTCTTTTTATTGGCATTGGATCATTACGCAAATAGGCTGTCCGGATTTGAGATGTCGAACATCACAATGTGAGTTTCCGAAGTAAGTTGTTTGTATTTTAAGCCCCAGAGGAAAGGCAGAACAAGGCATAGGTATGAGCAGCTGCCACACAACACAGAGGCGCATGATGAGAAGCAAATCCGATGCACAGGAAGCTCCCCATTATAGTCTGTTTCGGGGAGGAATGTGGTCTTAGGAAGCTTGCATGGCTGCTGGTGAAAGTCTCCTCACCCCTGACAGCTTCAAACAATCCTCTCAGGAGAAGACAGGTCAACACTGCCACACCAGGTGGGAATGCAGAGCGGGAGGTTTCTAACCAAATCCAATTCCTGACACTTGCAGAGTCACCACAGCAGAGAGAGTCACACACAGCTTTGGGGTTCCCAACACCGAAATGAGTCAATGGGGCATTTTCACGTGATCAGCCAGAAAACAGATTCTTTCTCTATGATTCACAGTTCACTGAACAACTCAACTGCCAATAATAAATAACTCAAACACACCACCCTTTCTAACTATTAAAAGCCAAGAGATCAAACTACTATATATTCACTACTAATATGTGGCAACAATTAAGGCATGCATGACTACACCAAAAATATTTCAACAGTGAAAGTCACCATTGAGGTATTTTATATGTACTGATTAAAAATATAACAAAGTTTTGACAGTATAATATCGAAACTACTGACTGGCCATCTTCATCCCCAATCTTCTGGTGTAAACTGCTTTGGTACATAAGCAGATTATTCAGGGCCCAGCATGCGGCCTCCTGGATTGGGGGAGGAGAAAAACAAACTTGTCAACACAGAAATGATTGGAAACCATAATTTTGAATAACTGGGATATTTATGAGAGTCCAACCTGCACGTGCTTATTCTTCCTGTGCCACGTTAAGGCCCTGTAACAGGCTTCCAGCCAAAACAATTTATCTTCCTCCTCCTCCTCCTCCTCCTCACTCTCCTGGTTCTCATCCTTCACCTCTAAGTCTTGATTTAAGAAAATGGTCTCAGCTTGAAAAAAATTTTAAAATAAATACATATATTTTCTATACATATAATTCACCAACAATTTGAATAAACATTCTAAATCTGTATTTTGAAATGCTATCAACAGAGTAAGATGTTCTTTAGTAGCAGCCTTGGTTAATTATAAAGCAATTTTTAATATATTACACAAGTCATAATACTCTTATTCCATATAGATAAACAATAAAATGAGGAAGAAGGTACCAAAAAAGTAATCAACTAGAAGAGGATCGTTTAAAAAGATTAGCAATGGGCCTGGGGATTTAGCTCAGTGGCACTGCGCCTGCCTTGCAAGCACAAGGTCCTGAGTTCAATCCCCGGTCCAAAAAATAAAAATAAAAAGATAAAAAGATTAGCAACTTTATAACGAAAATGAAATCAATGATGTCAAATAAAACTTAAGTATGAGCTCATACTTCTTAGTTCCCTAGAAAATATCCTCTATTGGAAAATGAATTACATTGGAACAGAAAAAGCATTAAATGCCTCCTTCTCTGCATGCAATCCTCTTGTTATAATATTAACATTCAACATCGAATGCACACATAAGAATTTTCTTTGTAGGGTCGCAATGTGACTCAGTGGTAGAACACTTGCCTAGCATGCACAAGGAGGCCCTGGATTCAATATCCAGCACCACAGAGAAAATCTGTCTTGTAAAGCTACTTACTGAGGAGCGCTAAACAGCTAAGTGCTGAGATCTGTAACACTGCATTCTCTGGATACTGCTGCACTGCTTTCACCACAAAAGCATGGACCTCATTTAGTACCAGGATATTGAAAAAATTACCTAAAAGTTAAGCGAGACATTAGCTAAATTCTCATCCATAGAACTTAAATTGTCACTAATATATAATGGCATTTAAATCAATAAATTTGAGTAGGCAAGACCATCTTAATGACATTAAAATATATATTTACTTTAATCAAAATATCTTCATATGAGAGGATAAAATTTGAAGTTTTGCCCATGATGTCATTTACATACATTACCTCTAAATGGAAATACATGAGAAACATAAGTTTGTGTTATTTCAACTTTGTAGCCTTTGACCTTGTCGCCTGTCAGCATTCCATAAAAATAATGAGATGTCCTCTCTCCATGACACTGCAGTATTCACTCGTGAAATAACTTAATTTTCTTGCCTTCTAAAAGATGTTAATCTTTTTTTAAAAAACTCTTTCATCATTTAATCCTTTTGTTGAAACATCTTTTTCAGTCAAAGAAATACATACCTCTTAAATAACTCTTCACACACTTACTATTTGATCTTGCATACTGTGATCTTAGAAAAAAATTATTTCACCACCTTGAAACCACCCTAGGAAACAGTCTCATAACTGTTTGCACCCACCCGTCTGAGCATTTCAACCAACCCTCAAAAAATCTAAATCTTCCTGAGAAGAGAATGTACACATTAGATTCCAGAAAGGTGTGCCTCCTGAGTAGCTCACGTGTCACTAACAATCACCAAGGTGCCTTCTAAAAGAATAAAACTCCCGTTTATCTGTAAGTGTAATTAAATGACTCCTAAGGTACGGAGCCAGAAGTGAAGATACCCTCCGTCATGAAATGCCTGAAGCCCAAGCTCAGTGTCCATCACTGGCCTCAAGATCTAAAGGCATTTGGCCGGCTGGGCGCCTCCCCACATTCCCCGTCCCACAGTGGCACTCCCAGCCCCAGCAGGCCTCCCCTCAAGAGGACTGCCCTGAAAGCAAGACCCTTCCGCCCTCCCAGCCTGTGTAAACTCTGGCTGCCCCGCTCCCTCTCCCCATTATTACTCTTGTGTTACTGGCAGCAGCTGCTGGACCACAGGGCACTCTGGGCAAACACAGCAAGACTGACCTTACGTTCAGACAACTTGGGTTGAAAATATATGAAAAACAAAAACAATCCTAAATGTGCTAAACCCACAATTACATAATTTCACAGACATGGTAAATATTTATTGAGCATCTTTAGGTTTTTACTTTAGTTATAAAGAGGAAGTTAAAAGTTTTGAAAAATAACAGAAACAATAAATTCTCTAGTCACCAAAACAAACTAAAGGGATAAATGAGAGGAAATAAACATCCTTATGTGAAGACCAATTGATGGCTTTTTATTATTCAAAAGCAGTTACAGAATAATACAAAATTATATAGGACATAATACTTTCCATGGTTTACTTAATCTCAATAGTATAATATTAAGCACTTTTGATGGGCCAATATTACACAACTATTTGATAGCACAATTTCCAAAGCAAAACTTTTTCCTCTAACTCTTTGTCTTAAAAATTGGTTTGGTTGGTTTTGGTTAGTTTTTGAGATAGGGCCTTCCTATACAGTATTGTCCAGGCTGGCCTTCAGCTCACTCTGTAGTCTAGGCTGATCTTAAATTCACAATCCTCCTGCTTCAGCCTCCCAAGTGCTGGGATCACAGGCATGCACCACCAACCTGGCATTCCGTCATTTCTTCATGCTGCAAATATCCAAACTCCTCTCTTCTAGTTATACTGTATACTGATGTATACAGTACACTGTCATAATCTATAGTCATCTTACTGTGGAAAGAACACCAGAACTTTCACAGTCCTATCTAACTATAACCTACAATCCACTGATCAACCTCTTGCAACCCTCTCTTCTGCTTCTGGTAACTACATCTTCTGGTAACTAAAAAGATGCAATAATCTGGGTTCTCATTCTGATTTCACTCCGTATTGCCTACATGTTCTTAGATAAGACACAAAAATTTCCTAAGCCACAGGTTCTCATATGTTAATGTGGTCATAATAACAATATCCCATTTCCCAGGATCATTTTATGGATCAAAAGAATTACAGATATATGTATATATGAAATTTTCAGGAACTATGAAAAAAGTCTGCAAATATTAAGACAGTTTCATCATATAGTTTTATTGTATAGTAGCATTAAATAAAAGCTTATCAAGGAAATAATAAGCTGAA